TATTTAGAGCTTTTAATTGAAATTTCATATTCATTTATAATGTGGCGTTTTATGTAATTATTTAAAGCTGTTTTGATACTAAATGATTTAATTTATACATAATACTAAAAATATATWTTTTTTTACAGGTATTCGACCGTCTTAGAATTGAAAACTCTGATTTTACAGACTTAATCAAAATTATTGATTGTAATCTTGAAGATTCGTCTATGGGTTTGACAACAGCTGATCGCGATTGGATAGTTGAAAATGTAAACTTTGTTTTTCATTGCGCGGCTACGATCAAATTTAATGAAACCCTTGAATTAGCATCAAAAATAAACATACAAGGGACTGAACAACTCTTGTCCTTAGCAACGCAAATGAAGAACCTTAAGGTAACATATTATATTATATTGACGAGTTATCGTTTATGCCGTTTATATACTCTCTGCCCAGCAAGAAAACTACTAATTACCTACTACTATGGTTTTCAAATCTGTAAAATGCTAATCAAATTAAAAAAAAATTCAATATAAATTTATATGGTATTTTTGATCTAAATTCTAAGGGCTTACTTTCGTTTTTTTTAATGATTTTTAACTGCATAATTGGTAAATTTTTAGAGTTTATAACTCCATAARCCAAATTATGTTTAAAAAACAGTGTCATGTTTCTAATTTCTTATCTATATCTTGCAGTAGTGGAATATGTTACATTGCATTTGCATATGTGTAAAAACTATAAATGTAATCTTATATTATATAAAAATCTTGTATTCATAGGGGTTTGTGCATGTATCGACCGCATATTCGCATTGTCCCAGAGATGAAATCAAAGAACAATACTATCCCGTTCCGATTACATTCAAGAAGCTAAATAATATGTTTGGTTTCAACGATTCTATACCGAGGTAAATTGTTTTATATACATCATAATAATATGTTTTTTAAATTAATGTTTATTTTATAAAATGATTTCTGTCTATAAACAAAGCTAGGTAGTTAGTTGTGGTTCGTGGCTGTGGTTTGTGGTTAGATAATATTATATATACATACTATAATTATTATTATACAAGTAACAGTTTTTTTCTTGGTTAATGTTTTTTGTTAGGGTAACATTACATTAAAATTCTAAGCATATAGTTTAAATCTTTATATTCATAAGTGATAAGTAAGTATTTTCAAGCTTAGTTCACTAATATATAAGTAATAATAAAATATACGTAGTTTATTAAAAGATGAAATTGGCTAATGTTTTACATATTATTTTKTTTAATTTTAAAAATAATTTTTAGAAAAATTTTGAGTTTGATGGATGAAATAAAGATCTTACAAAAAGTTATGACATCTACCTTAAAATATTTAATATTTATTTATTAAAAATTCACGTGAAAATTTTATCCATTCTATCATATTATTTACAAACAAAGTTCTTGTTTTAAAAATTAATTTGTATGTGATTTTTAGAATTTTAGAAGATTGGCCAAATACGTATTGTTTTACAAAAGCTATTGCAGAAAATTTGGTTTTAATAAATGGCATTCACTTACCAATGTCAGTGTTYCGCCCATCAATTAGTAAGTTTATTGTATTAATTGTTTTATGCTTTTAGTCTAAAATTATATTACAGTAGAACCTTATTAATCCGGACGAATAGAGGCTTAAGGTTGTCCGATTTAATGAAAGTCCGGATTAGACAAAATAACCAAAAAACATGTTTCTATTATAGATTTAAGAATATTATATTAAACTAATTACTATATATAGTATGATATATTGCAACAATGCAACATAATATTAGATCCAGCAAAAACATTACATATCAACGTAATGCATGTAATCATAATTATTATATATTTAGTCACACTGTCATTAACTGGTTTGAAAAAACTGGTAGTCTTATGTTGTCTTCTTTTCGCATTTATTTCTCGTATTAATAATTCACGTAGATGCCTCAAACGTAATATACAGATATTATGTTTTCATTGTCGTTATCTCAACATATTTAAGGACAATATTTAGATGGTCTTTAATTTCACCAAGTTTTAGCTTAGACTTGATAGTATCGTCTACTTCATCTTGTTCGTATATTCAATATTCATCCGTTTCAAAGTTTTCTGCAGTGGTGAGGCTTTCAAAAATCTCTTCTTTTGTTAAAATGTGATACCTATTATGTTTATTTTAATCTACGGCATATAATGCGTATTTTTCGTAATATTAAACAACTGTCCGGATTAAGCGAAGTCCGGACAAATGGGGTCCAGATTAATGAGGTTCTACTATATTAAAATAACAAATT